TCTCCCGCCTCAGAGGCCATCAGAGACCCTCAATGTGCAAATCTGGCCCGGTCCTGCCCTCTGAGCTCTGTCCTGCCCTCAGGATCTGGGAAATAAAACCTCCTCTCCAGGTGGCTGCCACGGTTTAATGGCAACAGAGTGCAAAAGTGACAACAGTTAAGTCACATGGAGTGACTGCCCCCCTGCGCCCAGAGCCCCAGGGTTTTCTCTCCTCCCGGCCCTGCTGAGGCTCGGCACTGTTAATAAGTTAATGAGTGACAAGGTCGCAAATTGCCCACCCTGTCTGCATGGGAGGGCCCACCTGAATGCACAGAGCTGGGCTGGGGACAGCCCTGGGAGCTGGTGGCCTCCCCACCCCCAGCATGCCTGGCCCCTGGCCCTGGGCACACAGGGGAGGGACGGGGCAGGGAAGGAGCTGGGCCCTGCCCTGGGCCCTTGTCAGCAACTCAGTGCAGGGAGCCGCGGGGCAGGCTGGGCTGTGAGGAGCTTCCAGGAGGAACCAGAAAGCAGGCCTGTGTGTGTGTCCCCTGCTGCCCCCAGCTCTGTCCCTTCTTCTTGGCCCATCCCTTCTGAAGGGACGACATTCACCTCTGCTCTGACCAGCCAGGCTCAGCCAGGGCTCCCCAAGCCATCTCTTCACCTTGAGTCCTCAGCTTCTGCCCAGCCCCTCCACCGATGCAGCCTGGGCCAGGGTCACCTCGACCTACTTCTCAACCCTCACTGCATTCGACCTCAGGGGCTCAGGGTCTTGCTGACCATACCTGCCTGTTCGCCCCTCAGCAACACCTCTGCAGCCCTCCTCAGGACCCATCGGGGTTCCCAGGGCCTCCTTCCCGCTCGGCACTTGCTCCCGTGCTATCCATCTTCTCCACGCCCATGGCTGTGGGACCCTTTACCACGAGCCACGACCCCGCATCTGCAGCGGCTGCAGGAACCTGAACTCCTCGCTGCAAAAGCTCTGTTCATCTCACACCCCCTCCACCAGTCTCAACAGTCAGAGACGCCGAAACTCCCAGCCTCTGTCGGCCCACAGCTGCTGCCCCGGCAGCCACCCTCACCCCTCCCGGCTCTCACATCCACACCTGCTGGTCGGCAAACCTGGAGTCTCGCCTGCGCCCTTTCCCACCCTCCCAGCCTCCCTGCTGCCTCCTCCTGGGGAGCATAGGGGCCTCCTTCATTTCACAGGTGAGGCTCAGATGTCCGGCTCCCGCGCCCTGGTTCCAGCAGGCCTGGGGAAGGAATCCAAGGCTCCAAGGCTCTCCTGTCTGCAGTATTTTAATTACTGGAGGAGGGGCGGGGGTGCGGTAACGAGACTCTAGGGACCAGCAGAGCCAGATGCTGGAGCTCCCAGACGGCCCGGTGACTCAGCAGGGATGGGGGATGTGGGGGAGTGCGTGCTGAGGGCTTGACAGTGTGCTAAATTCTCACCTCCTGCACCTTCCAGAGAGACTGGCTGCAAGGAATGAATGAGTGAATGAATGAAGGAACAAATAGAGGGGACCCTGGCCTCTTTACCGTGGCCTGGGGCCAGGGCTGCCCAAGAACAGGGTCGACAGCACCCCCAATCTCGCGCACACACACATACACACATGGAGGCTATGCCCCTGTGGGTCCTGGGGACACAGGTCCCAGTGGCCGCCCTGCTGTCTCCCTTCTCAGCCCAGCCTGGATCCATGCCAGGACCCCCTCCACACAATTTGCTGGGGAGGCCCCAGAGTCTTAACTAGGCCCTCGAATGCAGTGAGAACAACATGTGGGTGGGGGATGCTGGCCTCCAGAGGGGCCCATGGCACACCACCCACAGCCCTGTGATGGGCAGGGGCAGCACTGTGCAGGCAAAGGCCCCAGGGTGCAGTGGTGAGGGGCTCCCACAGAAGGTGAAAAGATGGCAGGGACTGGAAAGTCAGCAGGGATGGTCATGAGGGCCTGGAATGCCAGGCCAAGGAGGTGGAGAGGTTGGCTAGGGTGGGTGGCCCACTCAGGACCCTCAGCTCCAGACTCATTTGCCCATCTGCTCCTTCATCCAACACCCAGCATGCTTAGCACCACTGAGTACCTGGTGACCCAGCCCTGTGCTCAGACCCCACTGTGGATGGAGGTGGACACAGAACAGAGAGCCATTTAACCATGACCGTGAGGGGCGCTGTGGGGAGGGGCCTGAGCTTCCTGGGTGGGGGGCAGTCAAGGATGGCTGCGCTGGAGAAGTGGGACAGTGGGAGGCACCAGGCGATTGAGGGGTCATTCCAGGCGACAAGAACAGCCTAAGCAAAGGCCCAGAGGGGTGAAGAAGGTCATTGGGTTAGAGGAGGTGAAAGAAGACCTGGCTGGGACACAGGCCGTGAGATGGGCCAGGACCTCCGCAGCCTCCTGAGGGCAGGGTCGCCGAGAGGAACCGAGCACCCTGCATAGCCTGAACGGAGGGGCAGAAGCGCGTGCGTGGAGACGCCTGTAACCAGGGCGTCCTGAAGCTGTGTGTGGACGGCAGGGGATGGAGTGGGGAGATGATAGTGGCCTGGACCATGGTATGGACGGAGGGGCCCCAGCCAGCGATGAGGGCTGTCTGCCTTCCCCTGACTGGGATGGCGACAGTAGCTTGCAGCAGAGGATGTAAGCTCGGTTCCCGACTCTGGTTTGGGCGCCTGGGCTTCTGCAGCAGTCGCTCCACGTCCTGTCACCTCTGCCCAGAAGCTAGTCCAAGCCCCTCCTTGAGACCTACGACAGCGCGGTCCCCGCGGGCAAGTCCAGCACACTCAAGCCTGCCGGCGGCGCCCCCCATAATCCCCAAGCGCCCGGGCCCGGCCCTGCAGGGGTTCCCCAGGCCCCAGGGCAGACCCCCTGAGGCCTCGGTCGTTCCCACAGCGGTCCCGGGGGCCCTCTCCACAGCGCGTCGCTCGGGCCCAGCGGTCGCTAGGCTGCAGGCTGGGGCTCCCAGACAGGCCGAGCGCTGGTGGCGGTGGCGGCGGCGCGGATGGCAGCGGAGCCCGGACGCCAGTGGGCCCAGGCGCGCAGCGCATACGGCGCCAGCGAGGCCCTGCGGCGCGCCGCCGGCCGCCGGCGGGACCTCGGGCAGCAGCCCAACGGGCCGGGAGCCGAAGAAGCCCGCGCCCCGGGCCGCCTGGCCCGCCTGCGGGGCCAACTCCGGGCCGAGGCGGCGGCGCGGGCCGACGCGCCCCCGCTGCTGCGGCTGGTGGAGCGCGCGGGGGCGGCGGCGGCGGGGGCCGGGGCGCGGGCGGACGAGCGCAGCCGCGCCTCGGTGTGCTCGGTGTGCGGGGAGCCGCGCGGCGGGGCCACCTACCCGGCGGGCGTCCTGGAGGTGAGCGAGCGGCGGCTGCAGGAGGGCCTGGCGGCCGTGCGCGCCGAGCTGGGCGCGGGGCTCGCGGCGCTGCGCGCGGAGCTGCGGGAGGAGCTGGACGCCCTGCGCGCGCTGCCGCCGCCGCCCGCCCGCCGCGAGCCCCGCGCCGCCCCCCGCGGCCCGGCCCTGCTGCGGGCGCTCGGCACCGTGAACGCCCTGGCCGCGGTCGCGAGGCCCGCCGCGGCCTCCGCCGCCCCGGACGGTCCCGCCGACGGCGGCGCCAACCGGGCCCCGGCCCGGAAGAACCTGAAGAAGACGCCGGTGCCGCCCGGGGCGCCGCAGGGCGGAGGGGACTGAGCCGGCCGCGCCGAGGGGGCCTGGGGCGAGGTGCTCCTGGAGGCGCCGCCCCCGGCCGGAGGAGCAAGGGGACAGATCCGCCCCCGCGTGGAGCGTGGCTCGGAGAGAGGGGTCCTTGGACGCGCCAGCTGGTGCTCCGGTGTTGGGGTGTAGGCGGCAGGACAGAGCGGGCTGGGGCCGCCGGGATCGCGTCCGCGAGGTGCGGGTGGCTCCGCGCAGCCGGCGATCACCACTGGAGACCGAGCCTGGGGGCTGGGTGGGGGGAAGCCCCTTTGGGCCTTAAAGCCAGGGAAGTGTCTAGCCCAGGGGTATGTCAGCCTCAGTGAGGGCACGGGGCGGGGTAAGCCTAAGCGTCTGCGGCCCGGCGGGACGACTCTGCCTCACGGGAGGAGGTTGCGGGTTGTTTTTTCTTTTAAGGGTCTGGCGCGGAGGCAGGGATTTCACGCACTGGGATAGAATGTGATCCCACCCCAAGCAACAGACGCCTGGGACACGTGGGCTGTGGGGACCTCATCAGCTGACACAGCCTCACTCAGGACAGTGTCACCCGGATGGATACACAGCCACATTCCACGGGACAGCAACGGGACAGCAGCCTGCCTCCCGGCAGCTTCGCTCTATCCGCCGGACTCATCCTCCCACTGGACAGGTTGCCTGGACACGGCTGCCTGCAGTCAGCATCTCTTGGACTCTTAGCTTCGCTTTGGACAGTGATAACAAGGACACTTACCCCTTCACTGGGCCTCTCCACAGGCAGTCACCTGGACACTAGTATCTCTCCAGAAAGTGGTACCCTACACTCAGACTCTGCAGCGTGACTTCCCAGTGTCACTTGGGCACCGTTTCGCCTCGTTTCGCCTTTCATTGGCTGTTCCTGTCACCAGGACCCGCTCAGCCGAGCCTGGAAGCAGCAGCTTCTCCGGCCTGGCCTCGCGGAAAAGTCAGCTGGAGGCATCATTGAACCACAGGCAGTGTCCCAGGGCCCGTCAGCCAGTGGTTTTTAAAATAAAACGTGTAATCTTCTGCTTCAGCAGGTGGCGGTTCTAAGGCCTGCTAGCTTTTCTCCTTCTGTCTTACCAGGGGATTTAGACATACCGTGAAGGTTGGGAGATGGGGTGCCTTCTCCCTCTCAGAGGGGTCCGGGGAGGTCTGGGGTTACGCCTGGCGGTCTGGGGTTACGCCTGGCGGTCTGGGACTGGCTGTGGTGGGGTAGGGGAAGTCAGTCAGGGGAGTCCTGGTTGTATATGGACAGGCCCACCGAGGCCTTGGTGGGTTACAGCAGGAATCCCGCTTCCGTGGGGGAGGCAGTGCGCCCCAGACCCCTCCCGCCGCCAGCCACATGAGGCCAAGCTCACTCCGTGTACCGTTTATTGCAGGAGCAGGGTCGCGTCTGGATCCTAGGGGCCCGGCTGGAGGCACAGGCTGAGCGCCAGGCCCAGCAGAGCCCCGCGCACGCGGGCCAGGCGGGGAGCGGGGGCCGGGGCTGCCCCGCGGACGGAGGCGCCAGGAGAGGCCGAGACCCTGCGCCCCCCGAGAGGCTGCTGCGGGCGGAAGTTCTCCGTGAGCGGCGCGGGCTGCGAGCCTGGGGGCCCGGCCTGGGGCACCGACTGGAACTGGGCCACCTGAGGGTGCGGGGCAGAGCCGGTCAAGAACGGCGGCCGGGTGGCGGGCAGCCCCGCCCAGGGAAGGCGCGGCGGCCCCACCTGCGCGCGCCCGATGGGCACCGCGTCCTCGAAGACCGTCCAGAGCACGGCGGGCTCGCAGCCGGGCGTGGTCAGCGACCCCCAGTAGCGATAGTAGCGCGAGAGGCCGGAGGCGCCGGGCAGCAGCGAGGCCAGCGGGAAGGTGGACGCCAGATCCACGGAGACCCCTGGGGGGAGTGGCGGCGGGGTTGGAACTGGACTCCCTGTGCCCAACGCCCCGGCCCCCAGCACCCCTAGCCCAGGTGGGACCCGGCGCTCCTCACCGCGCGCAGACACGTTTTTCAGGCCCGACACAAGGGCCGAGAAGTTGGCGTTGTCAGAGTCCTGCTCCTGGGGAGGGGCTCCAAGTGAGAGGAGCTCTGAGTGGGGGTCTCCAAAGGGGGAACTCTGAGGGCGTCTGAGAGAGTCTGGGGGAGCCTCTAAGTGGGAGGAGGGTAGACTCCCAGAGCGGGGGATCTGGGAGATCTGCTGGGGGGAGGATCCCCCTACCCCGACCCTGCAGATCAACTACGTCCCACTGGCCCCATCCTCCCACAGAACCCTTTAAACCCTACAGACCCCGGAACCCCCGCTACTCCACCACAAACTCCACAGTCCCACCCTGCCCCCGCTGCAGACCCCAGTGGAGCCCCTCCCTCCCTCACAGTGAGGAGTCACAGGGCCCCTCCCTCACCGCCAAGAACACGGCCAGCACTGCCAGCCCATCAGGGTGAGCTCGAGCCTCCCCCATGCTCTGGTACCGCGTGTTCATGTGGACCACGTGCATCTGGGGAGGCACAGACCATGGGAGGTACCCAGCCGCCCCCACCATGCACCCCCTGGCCTCCATAGGCCACTCCCGCCACCCTACCCCATGCCTGAGCCCACCTCCATGGGGCGGCGCTGCCCGTCCAGGCTGTGCTCTGAGCCTGCTCGCCCAGGGCCCCCCCAGTGGAAGTGTAGCTGCAGTGCACGGTAGGCAGGTAGTGGCAGCCCAGCACCCTGCATCTCCAGGCGGCTCTGCGGGCCAGTGTCCACGTGGAGCAGCACTGAGGGCGAGGAAGCACATGACACCCTTCCCTTCCCCCCACCTACCCGCCTTTGTGCCATTAGGGCACAGGGTTCAAGCAAAGGTCCCCCCGGGACAGTCTGCTCCCTGGCTGGGCCTCCATAGAACTAGGACACAGTCCAGGCCCTCTGCTGGTCAGTGGGGAGGGGCTCCACAGACTGCAGTGGAAACCCCCACCCTGCATGGCAGGGAGAGGGTGGCCCTCCTGGGGCAGGAGTCCTGACCCAAGGCAGCTAAGTGTGATTGTAGGGGCTTGTGACTACTCCCGGGCACCCTGGTGCTGTGGGGAGTTCTGACTTGTAGGTATGTCCTGACTCCTGGTCCTCAGGGGCAATGGCCGATTCCTATTGGTAGGGAGCTTCCTGACCCATGTAAGGGAGGTCTTTGACCCCTGTTTAGTGTCTCCTCTCTTTTGGAGGGGTCCTGATCCCCGTGTGTGTAAGGGAGTTCCCGCTCAATGCAAGGGGTTCCTGCCCCTGTCTTTGGGAGGTCCTGAGCCCAGGGTGCTGACCTGTATGGCCATCATTCTCCAGAGTCCATGGGCCCGGAGGTGCTGAGTCGTAGCCATGAAAGATGAAAGGTCTGAGGGTGAGGTCCCGCCGGACCAGGTGAAGGTCAATGTTGATGGGAGACTGGGCTGGACCCCCACAGGCAGGGGCTATCTCCTTCCAGTGGGTGGGGCCTGAGGGAACAAGGCCTGGGGTCTGTAGGTGGGTGGTCAGGGAGGCAACTTGGGGGTGCACAGAGGAAGGTGGCCTCTCCCTCCCTCCCACACATACCCAGAGACTAGCCAGCTTCTCCCTCCACCCCCACGGACAGGTCACAAGTGGCACGTCCCCCCACCCTGGCCAAGCCACCGGTTTGCAACACTCTCACCCAGGCAGGCACCACCTGACCTAGGCCACACTTGACAGTCACCTATAGGTGACTGCCCCACAGGAACGAGGATGGAAGGGTCTCCTGGCACACGGCCACACGTTCACAGTGGGGACTTCCACCACCTGCACACACATGGGCTGACCACACTGACAGGCTTACAGGCCCCGCCTGATAGGAGCAGCTTTGCACACACAGCAGGACTGGAGATCACAGCAGCCATGGACCCGGACACACATGCAGAGGGACAGTCACATGCACACTGCCTTGTGCTACTGTGGCCCAGGACTATCAAGAGAAACCTGCAGAGACCACAGAAGAGCCTCGTGCAGACCACCTTTTGACCACATTTGCACCAGACTGTCTAGTGGCCACAGGACACAGACCAATTGCACACAGCCTCACATGACACTCTGTCCTCACCACACTTTGGGTCCTGGGAGTCATAGCACCAGGCTCCTGTGGAGAGAGGGAAGGGATTGAGCTGAGGAGCCATTTGGGCCCTCTCCCAGCTCCATCCCATTCAGGGTTCAAGAATAGGAGGGGACAGCTTAGGCCAGGGGAAGCCAGTGCAGACCCTGCTCTCCTGTTGCCCCAACTCCAGTAACTCCTTCCTAAAAGAACCCCCCACCCCCACCCCAGTAGCAGGGCCTCAGGCGGAGAAGGGTGGGGAGGTGCGGTAGACTCAAGATGGGCAGAGTCCCGGTGCTCACCCTCGGAGTCCGCATCCACAACCAGCAGCAATGCGAGGAAGGAGAGCTTGAGGGCAAGGAAGGTGAGTGCAGAGCCCCGAGACAACATGCTGCAGCAGCTGCAACTCCAGAGGACTGGAAAGTGCTGGAGGACGGCAGGACGAGGCAGCTGTATATTTATTAGTGGGGTGGGCTAGGGGCGTGGCTAAGTCCTGTTGGCTCACAGGTCAGCCACTGCAGAGGACATATGGGGGGGGGGGAGCACCCAGACAGGGCCAGCACAGGGAAGAGAGAGCTCCGAGCTCACCAGGCACATGCTGTGACCCCAGGGCCGCAGCTGCATGCCAGCAACAATCGTTGGCATTTACGGCTGCTAAACGTTCTACACGGGTCCCCCTAATTAATCCTGGGGGGTGGGGTCTATTATGCTCACTTAAAGATGAAGAAATGGAGGATGGGAACCAGGAGTGACATGCAAAGGCCACCAGCAAGGACGGAAGTTCAAGGGGGAGACCACCTTGGATCTCAGTGCCCTTGACTTGTGGGGCCGGGTTTAAGGAGGGCATGGGAGGGCACCTCTCCTCTCCTCTGGGACCCCCCCCCCAAAAACTACAGCCTTGCTTTTACTGGGGCTCTCCTGCAGACCTGGGATGAGATGGAGCCCTGCTCCAGGCCTGCCCTTCTTTGGGGGACCACCTCACCAGTGGGTCTCCAGGAAGCTGCATCCCACCCCCATTGCCCTGCCTGGCTCAGGCTGGGACTCCGCTTCCGCAGCAGCTCCGGAGGCCCTGAGGGCTCTGGCGTCCAGCAGACCCCATGCTGTGGCCCGAGCCTCAGTTTGCTCTCCTGGAAAGTGGGGATCTGTTATCTCCACCTCTTGGTGTGGCCAGGAGAAAACACGCCGCCGTCCAGAAAGAGCTCAGCAGCCGGGTGCTGGTGTGCCGGCGACCGTAAGCACAACTGGGCCTGCGGGTTGAGGGTGCCAGAGGTAGGGAGAACACCTCTGCACCTGGCGCCTTTTCCCAATCCCGAGGCCTGGGCTCCTCCCACTTGGGGGAAGGGAGGCGGCCCCTCCCTGGCAGCAGGGGACGGGATGCTGTCGGCGGTGCTGATGGCGACCAGGGGGCTCAGGACCACCCTCAGCCATGCAGATGTGTTCAGGAATGAGGGGCTGCCTCCTCAAAATTCCTATCCTGGCTGAGAAACTCCCTGGTTCCTTTTCTAACCCCGACCCCTCACCCATCTGACTGCTGCACTCCCCCAGCTGGGCTGACAGCCAGGATGGTGGGTTAGGAAGGCAAGCACGAGGATCTGCCCAAGGTTGAGTCCCCTGGGTGCCCTCTTGTGCCCAAATCACAAATTGGGAAATTATTGGAAGGACCACTGCTGGAGAACTGAAAGGACAGGGGGGTCTCAGAGCCCTGTGCCTGCCCTTGGCTTCCACAGATGACCCACCTCCTCCATCCACCCATCTCTGCACCTGTGCCTCGGTGGCAACTTGGCGGGAGCCTCCCACCCCAGCTTGGGTCACACCAAGGACTGACCACGCTTCCTCCAGAACATAAATTTATTTGGCATTTGGATGAAATGGTTCTCACAGCATCTTAAGAAAAGGATTAGTGCCAACCCAACCAAAAATAAACCCAAACTAAAAACCCTTAGTGAAAGGAAAACATAAAGAATAGGCATTGAGACAATGTACAGTATTGACTCCCACCTCCACCAGGCAGGTCAGGTCCTGAGGGAGGGGTGCCCTCCCAAGAGCCTGTCCTGTCCCTCCAGGGGCCCAGTGTGCATGGGGCAGGGGTGCCCTTCTCCCACAGAAGCACAAGAGTCTCAGCCACGGCTGGCCTCAGGATTCTTCACCAGGCCATGGAGCACAACCAGATCTTACAAAGGGCAGCGACTGGACAGAGCAGACCCCAGCTCTCCTCCTGCTCCCCACACAACCGCCCTCCAGCAGAGCTGAACTCCCGGGGCACCAACTCCTGGAGATGCAGCAGGCAGCAGGCAGGTCTGGAGCAGCACTGCACACAGGCCTTCTGCTCAGCCTAAGGACGCCAGTAGGCTGAGCAACGTTGGACAGAACCCTGGCCAGTCCAGAACAGGCCCACCCTCTACAGCCCTCATGGTCTGCTTCAGGCCACCCCTTCCTCCTGCATGCCTGACTGGCCCCAGCAGTCCTTCAGTCCCCAGAAGAAGTTCCCCAGTCCCACACATCTCATGCCAGCTGCCCTGTCCTGTACACATAGTGTTGAGGCCTGGGCCAGACACGGGGGGGCTGGGAGGGACCCTGAGCTGTTGGGGCCAGGCCCCAGTGGAGCTCCATTAGGGTAATCAGTCCAAAGCAGGCATGCTCAGGACTCTCACTTGGCACCCACAAGGCCTGTGCCCAGTACACACTCGAGGCATGACACACTTCCTGCTTTGTCTTCAGCAGCCAGCGTGGGCACATGTGCCCAGGACGCCATTCTCAATGAAGGACCAGCCCTTTAGCAAGGGGCGTGAGGCCTGCCTCCAGCACTCGACTCCTGCAGGCCAAGCCCAAGGACAGGCAGTTCAATGACAAAACTCACACCTCTGGCCAGCTCTAGGGACAAAAGTCAGGTCTGTGGGGCAACTCAAGAATCTCATTCCATACTGGAAGAACAAAGCAGGTTTCTAAGCAGAGAGTGCGAGAACATGCCTAGAACTGGGCAGTGCCACCGAGGTGTGTCACCACAGCACCACAGAAGCACCCACTTCAAGTCAATGCTCCCCTCGCTGCACGTTGGTCTGCAAGGGGGCTCAGGAACAGGGCTCCAGGTTCTGAGATAAGGGGCAGAGACGAAGATCTGGTCACGCCTCAGTGCCACCCAAGAGGCCATGGCCAGCCTGGGAAAGTGGGGCCCCATGTTCGAATTCCTGTTTACCGCCACCACTTGGACACACACAGACACACATAGACATAGACACACACACACACACAAAGGAAGAGATCCAAACATTCAACATAGAAAAGATATGGATGTGCTAAAAATCGCACAGAACCCGCTTAATCTCCAAACCTCAGAAATGGTAAAAGCCCCGTGTCAGGAGACAAGACCACTGCCCAGGAACAGGCATCAGGGTCCCTCGGTCAAAAGGCCCCTGGGCAGAGCACCCAGCACCCCGCGCTGCTGAGGATGGGAAGGTGGCATGCGGTCACAGGGCACTTGGTTCCAGTGGTGGCGGTGGTGTGCAAGAAGTGGACTTTCAGGAGATGGACACGGCCCAGAACCTACTTTCAGCCACCCCTCCCCCTAAGGAAACAACCTTTTATGGCACAAATAAGGTGGAATGGTGGCAGGCCAGCCCCAGGGGCAAACTCAACAGGAGGGGCTCCAGGGCTCCAGAGGGTAGCAGACAGGAGCCAGCTTTGCTCCCAAGCCCCAGCAGAGGATCCAGGGCCAGGACACTCATGCATGGCCAAGGGCCTTGGTCCAGCTCCAGAGCCACCTCCTGGGGGAGCCATGCACAGTAATGCTGGGGAGAAAACTGAAGGGGCCGGGCCAGGGCCTCCTGGCACAGAACTGGGCTTTGCAGAGCCACCTGGAAAGACAGAGTGGAGAGTTCAAACTCCTTCAGGCTCCCTTTCCCAGGGCCTCGGGCAACAGAGACCCAGGCCAGGCCCCAGCCTGGGGCAGGGTCACCCTCAATGTTCACAGCTGGACTCGTGGAAAGCCACCCCCAGAGCAGCCACTGGAGCAACCTCCAAGGCCATCTGCCCTGCAGCAGACCAGTCCACCGCCCAGACGATACTGACAGTCCACAAATACCCTGGCGCCCAGAAGTGCCCTCCAGAGCAGTGGCCAGAGAGGTGCACTGTGGCCGTCCTGGGTGGGCAGCAGGCTCCTCTGGATGGCATGCTGCAGCAAGCCAGCCCACCAAAGCTGGGAAGGCTGGGTGTGGCTAGGCCCCCGCCCAGGCCCACACCACCTTCTTTGTTCCCTACTTCTCAAACATATAGTTTGAACAAACTTTGTCATTCTTCTGCCGCTTAAAAAGGACAGTGACCCAAAGCTATGCATGTCTTTGAAGCCCTGAAGGAGACTGGGTGCAGGTGCTCGCTCCCTCAGGAGGTGGCGTGGTCTCCATGTGCACCCGCATGCTGTGAGTGAGTGTGTGCTGCAGTTGGGTCCAGGCTCACTCAGAGGCCCCTCAAGTCTCCACGGGGATCGGTGTTTTCTTCACAGCAAATGGATGCTCCCCGCCCGTCGGGGCTGAGGGCCGGGCCGTCCTCTACACCACGGTATTGAGGGAACTGCGGCTGTGGTGGCCACCCCCTGGCAGTGCCTCTGTGGCCGAGGTGCTCCCACTCTGCGTGGGGTCAGGGGGCACAAGTAGGGCGCTGCTGCTGTCGGCTGAGTCTTCCAGGTCTGCCAGAGGGGCCCCTGTGGCGGGCAGAGGCTGTTCCAGGCACCGTGATGAGGCACCTTCACCGCCACCATCCCCTGGGGTTGGTGGGCCAGCCTCTGCTGGCTCAAAGGCATCGTCGTCTGCAGGAGGAGACAGAGGGTGTCAGAAGGGCAGTGGGCCTGGAATAGGGAAAAAGGGTTGGCTGGACAGAACCAGGGGACAGTTCTCTTGCCTGAATGTTCCCCCTCCTGCTGTAGGGGGTGGGGGAGATACCCACCCTGACCAGGCCATGCTGGGCTTGCCCCTTACCATCCCACTGTGGGGGGCTGCCATGGTACATGGTACAGGGGGGCAGCAGTGAGCAAACCACAGTGTGTATTGAGGGAAACATGCTTTGATAGAGTCACCAGAACAAAGGGAGGGAAGGGGAGAAACCCTCTCAGATTCAGTGGGGGTCAAAGCAGGACTCAAGGGGCATTAGGGAGTTACTGGGCTGGGGGCGGACAGGTCAACAGAGTGTGCGCAGCCTCCAGGCCAGGAGCTGAGGCTGGAATACGGGGATGAGAGGGTGGGACAGAGGGCCAGAGTAGGCAGCCCCGCAAAAACAGGGGGCCTGCAGAAAGCTCTGGTTTGAGGGAGGCCTGTGGCAGCCCACTCCCTTCAGGCTGCCTGCTCCCTATTACCTACCACAGGCTCTCTCTGAAAGCTCGGGGCACAAGGGCCCAGGACGTGCACCCCCTGGCCACTCCCCATGGTCCCAGCCATCCTGCTGCCCTGCCCTGCAAAGCATCTCCTCCCCTGCAGCCTGGTCATGGAGGCATGTGGGACCTGTGGTCCCCTAGCTGCATCCCTGGCAGGAAGCTCATTCTACCCTGGTGCCCTGACCACAGACTATGACAACCTGTGCCCCAAGGGCAGGGTCAAATCCAAGTCTTTCCCACCCTCAAAGACCACAGAGGAGCCATTTGAGTTGAACACACATGACCAAGAGGACGGGAGTGCTGCTCTTGCGATGCCCATTCTGCTGAGGGTGTGGGCACGAAAGGGGCCAGCCATTCTGGGGCGGGCACTGCCCTCCATCATACAGCAGGGGTGCATGAGTGTGTGCACGTGCATGTGTGTTAGAGGGTGTAGCACACAGGGAAACAGGATAGGACACCTGCAATGCACACCAGGCACAGGGACAGCCAGGCAAAGGGCGAGGCACCTGGCACTCCTCTTGTGCTACACAGCCCTGTGAGGATCTTCTGCAGTACCAGAGGGACAAGACTTGAGTCATCAGCCCAACATCACAGAACCAACACTTTCTTTCCACTTCAGAGCTGCCCCCCAACATGAGAGAATGTCATGATGGCGACGACTCAGCTCACCACACGGGCACATGTGTCTTTACAGCCCAGTGGTGTGCTCTGGAAGGACCTCGCCCCTGCAGCTCTGGCCAGGAGGCTCTGGGCCAGCCCCGTACCCACGACCGCCAGTGCCTGGTTCCCCAGCTCTGCACAGAGCCCAGCTGAGGGTGCCCCAAAGGCTGCTGGCTCACAGGCACAGCACAGGTGCTCACAGGAGAAAGGCAATGGGCAGGGTGACCACCACCACTGCTCATCTGCACCTGCAGCCCTGGAAAGAGGCCGCTCATCAACAGTGGTTCCACCATAAAGGGGAAACCAGAGAGAGAGGAGAATGCCGGAAAGGCGCAGGGCTTCACAGTCCTCTCGACTGGGGAGGACGCTGGGCCTCCGGTCCCACATGCTGGATGGCTGTTGACAGGCTACTCCCTCTCCCTGGGTGGGTGGGGAAGGGAGCACCTGCAGGGTCGTAGAACACGCTGTCGGGGTTGATGGAGGCCTCATAGGGTGGCGGTGGGTCATCTGGCTGGTCGATGTCGGGGTACTTGTATGCGGTGTAGGGAGGTGGAGGGTCATGGAAGTGGAAAGTCCCCCCTTCTCCATCGTCAGAAAGGTGTAGCGGTGTGAGGCCTGTGCCAAATCCATCCGGGCCATAATCAAAGCCGGGGATCCTCCGGCCGAGGTTGAAGTGGTGCACTGGGCAATAAAAGTGGAAACAAGCAAGAGAGCCATGTCACTCAGAGGTGCGGTGCTCGGCTCCTGAGCCACCCACCCCTCCTGAGGCTGATCTGCCACCCCAGGCCCAGGGTGCCAGACATCCTGTCATGTTCCTATGCCCAGCTGCCCCTAGGCACAATCACCTGAGAAGCCCGACTTGCCCTGAATCTCCTGCCCAGTCCCCCTCCTTCAGTGCCTGCCTGCCCTTCACCCACACGCAGCCTGTGTTAAGGTCTGCCTCTTCTGCTGTCCGGTCTCAGCTCTGCCCACTGCGCCCCAGCCCTCACCACACCCCTCGAGCTCTAACATGTTTCTGGGTGTCTAGCCCATGATGGCCTCAGAGTTCTGCTCACCCTGCAGCTCAGTAAGAAGTGAGGAGAGTCTCGGAAAAACGTTGCTGGACCACAGTGACATGGGGCCCTCACACCTGACCTGGCAGCCCCAGGAGGCACTGGGGCCCCTAACCACAGCCAGCACAGTCCTGTGGCATTCCTGCCACCTCAATTCTGAACCATTCCCAGCCTGTGTGCACCTGTTCTGCCCCTCCCCACACGGGACCAGGGAGCCCCAGCTTGCTCACTGAGACCAGGGGTGATTTCAGCAGCTCTCTCGGGGGGTGGGATGCTACAGAGAACTTGGGCTGAGGAGGGTGAGCCATACTCTCTACACTGCCTAATGGCCATGGGCATCTGCCACTCCTTCTCTGGCAGGTCACCTCCTGGCAGGTGGCCCACACTCATGGCCTAGGCTTTTGGAAAAGATATCATCATCATCTGAATACACAGTGGCTGCCCTTCGCTGGGAAGAGCAGCTGGCACTGTGGCTGCACTCCCCCCTCCACATGTCCACGGTCTCTGATCTTGGGTCCCGGGGACAGCACTTCCAGTTCCCCAGACCAGCAGCAGGTGAGAAGGTGGGGCAAGGACACCCTGGGGCACCTTCCGTCAATGTCCTCTCCTTCCTCCCTGCCCTATTCCTGCTTCCTATGCCTCCTGCAAGGGGACATAGCCCAAGGCAAGGCCTCCACGGTGGCATCATAGGCAGGGGCTGGAGCACTCACGATTTGCTCCGATGAGGGACTCGATGCGTTCCCGGCGCCTCTGGCGCAGCCGGTGGACCATGAAAAGCAGCAGGGACAGGATGAGGAAGGAGGAGATGCAGCTAACTATCAGACGCATCCCACTGGCCATGGAGTCGAACAAGCTGTTGCCGTCTGTTAGGAGCAAAGGAAGGAAACTTGCCACTCCTAGAAAAGGAGGTCCCGAGCCCCAGGGGTTCAGCACTACAAGGCAGCCACAGCCTCCACCACTAGGCCAACTATGTGGATGAGGCACACTCGCTTCCCAATTCCCTGCACTGGGCAGGACTGGGACAGATGGCAGAAACAAACAGCTCAAAATCAGGAACACTGAACATCATAGGAGGGAAGCAAATTGTGGGCCAGTAAAAATGTTTCCATACAACAGGCCTGTCAGGTGCCCTCCTGGTGTCATGGGGGCCCGGTCCCCAGACAGGCCACCTGGCCTCCCCCTGGCTGATTTGTGTTGGGTGGCTGGGTGCCTTCCTTCAGGAGCTGCAGGCCTCGGACGTCTGCTGTGTGCAAATGCCCACAACTATCGGTGAGCAAGGAAGACGTTGTCCCCCACGATCAGCATTTCTAAGAAAGCAAGCAAGAACGGCTCTGCATGCCAAGGGAGCGAGCAGCGACCCTCTGTAGAGGCCGCACACCCTTCTTCTGGTGCCGAGCACGCTCCTTCCTGCTCGACAGGCTGATCTGAGTGTCAGGAAGACATGCCAAGGACGAAATGTCAACGTCCCTGTCCTCGCTGAACTTACATGTGTGTGAGAGACGGACAAGACCACCATATGTGAGTCTAAATTGCGAGAAGTACCAGAACACAAGGGGGCACGACAAAGGGATCAAAAGCAAAGGAGACATGTGTCCTGTGGGGCGGCCACGGGGAGGGCTGAGGGCAGGGGAAACGGCGGACAGTGGGCCGGGGCTGTGTCTCCGAGTTTGATTCTCACAGGACGCACCGGGAAGCACCTGGGCATTTGGAGTGGGGAGGGACGCCTCCTGCGTGGGCCTGGGTCAGGCAGCGCTGCGTGCAGGAAGCACTGCAGGGGAGAAGCGGGGGAGTGTCGGAGAGCCAGTGTGGGGGCACCTGCAGCATCCAGGCGAGGGAGTGACAGTGGCCTGCGTGGGGTGGTGACAGGGAGAAGTGACAGCACGAGGTCCATTTTGGACTTGGATTTACAGGCTTCACTAATGGACTGGGGAGGGGTTGGTTAAGACCTGCTGGGCTGCTGCGTAGACCGCTGGGGAAGGACTGTCAGCCCAGGTCTCATGCATAAATGAGACCCCACTGCAGCTGTGAAAGAGTCCTGTTACCTCAACCCTTAAACCTCAGTAGAGACTGCACACAACCCTGCACTGACACCAACCCTGGGCACACACGTGAAGACGAGCACTTAGAAACACGCGTGCTGACCTGTGCCACATGGCACACAGCACCTGGCCCCACAGGCACCCACGAAGATGCCACAGCCCGGCAACACCTCTGCTGGCGAGTGTGGGGGACGGGGCCACAGAGTCGCCTGCTCCGCTGATCCACGGGGGCATGTGCCTCCCTCCATCTTCCCCAGAGGGCCCATGTCCACCTTGTCCTCCCACCATCCCTATTGCTGGGGTGTGAGCCCCGGAAGCCACAACAGGAGCTTGAGGGGAGGTGCTGAACAGGATCATGTGTCCGGCCATGGCACCTAGTACTTCCCTGGTATCTCACCACAACCCTACAAGGGAGGAATTGAGGCTTAGCAGGCCGTGTGACTGGCCTGAGTTCAGACATAGGGGGCTCCAGCCTTCACGGGGTGCTCCCAGAGTGCTTGACCACTCCCCTGTACCCAGCAGTGCTCGCATGTGGAGGCTGGCATCACCCCATCAGGGGAAGAGAGTGAGGACAGTCTGCACTGGACTCGAGTCCCTGTTTACAGGCCCCGCCCTTCCCTCGGGTCCCTGTCAGTGGCTGCTCTAATTCTTGACCTCCCCACCCCTACTTCCTACCAACCCTCTCTGTTGGTGGGGAGCCCAGGTGTATCAGAGTGTGTGCTCCACTGTGGCACTCATGATCTTGCAGGAGGAGGAGGGACACACATGGAGCAAGTCCTTACACGGTGCCTGAGGTGCCACTGACCTGCTGGCCCACTCCTCTCTACCCGGGGCCATAGTCCCTGTCAGAGCAAGGCTGGGCAGGTCACAGCCACGTCCCTGCTGTTGGCCAGCTCTATGGTGGAGGCCTAGAGTCCTGCAGCAGCTCCAAGAGAGGGCTGGAGTCCGGCCTGAACCCGGACATGTTGAGGCAGAAGCAGTGGGGTTTCAGGGTTCAAGCAGCAGCTCCCAGCTGGGTGGTGGCCTCATCCTCCAACACTTCTAAGTCATAGGCGACATGTCCCTTCTGCCTAAGCTCACTGGGGGCTGCAGCTAGAGGGCACAGCTCTGTTATGGGCCCCTATGCACCGCCCTCACCCCCTACAGAACCCGGCACCGTGATGTACACTAGGGGATCTCACCAGGGAGACTGTGCACCCCGCAAGGGACATTTGGCAATGTCTGGAGACACTTTTAGTTGTCATCAATCGCTTGGGGGGTAGAGGTGCTACTGGCATCTAGTGGGTAGTGGTCAGGGAAGTACTCAATATCCTGTTGTGCACAAGACAGCCCCACAACACAGTGCCTGGCCCCAAATTTCAACAGTGCCAAGGTGGGGACACCCTGCTCTGCCCCGCCCTGGAACACACTGGGGCTTCTTGGTGCTTGCCATGGAGCGCTGAGGGTGGGACAGAGATGATGGCCATGGGACGAGGTGTGAAGGAAGAGAACCTGTACTGGCCTACGACATGATGGACATTTCCACGTGCTTTCACCTAGATGAGATGGGCCACTCACACCAGGTCACAGAATAATGGAACCAGGAAGTGGTCCTCCACCGACCCAGGGTAGAAGCAGGGAGGATTCAGTGGGGAGGAGTCACCTGTAGTCCTTGGAAGCAGGAGGACTCTGCATGGGCGGAAGGACAAAGGGCTGTCAACTCCCACCTCTGCAACAGCCATGCCGGCAGGTCCTGAATCACCAGCCCCAGGAGACACTTCACAGCCAACATGGGTTCCACACGAGAGAGGCCAGGCTCCCAGGACCCCCTGCTGCCCCTACTGGCCCAGCCTACTCCACACCAATGCAGATGGCCAGAGCTCACTCTTGCCCTCGTCCCACAGGGCCAAAAAGCTTCCTCAAACGTGGCAATTACTGCCGACAGCATTTGGGAAGTGAACATGCAGAAAGGATACACCCTCTCACCAATTAGCTGCTTCTTTGATGCCTCTGATTCTTTTCCAACCTCAAGAGAACACTTCGTCCCTTCCGTGGGAGGAAGCCCATGAACTCAGGGGGCTGCTGACATGTCTGTTAACTGACGGCCAGCTCAGAGATCCTGGGGGAGGGCACCTAAAGCAGCAACTCCTCTGCAATGACTAACTCTTAATCAGTTCTAAAATAAACCCAACGACATGGTCAAGGTCCCTGACTGTCCCTCCACAGTAGTTACCAGGAAGACACATCTCCTAGAACCAAGTCACCTGCAGTCAGACCTTATAAAGAAGAGAGCACTGTCCCAGGAGCCAGAGATCAGCCCAGGGGCCCCAGGGGGACCCACATCATGGCTGGTCCCTCCATGCGGCTCTGGACTATACCAGACAGGGCAAGGTTCTATCTCCCAGGCTGCTGGCTCCTAGTTATAGACAGATGACACGTCCTGCTGGGGTAGATGCTGTTGGAACTGAAGGTGCCCTGAAGTCTGCTGCCTGAGCTTCCCCAGATCCTCTCTAGGTGGCTGCCCAGCCTGTGCATGAAGAGCTCCAGTGACGAGGAGCTCACCATCTCACTGAGCTTGGTTACATGGAAACAGTTTACAAATCTCCGTCAGAGACAGCAGGTGGAGCAGCAGCTCACCAGGAACTGGGGGCTGATGCCCTGTACCCCAACATGGGCTCTGCTACTGGCTGCTGCACGGCTGGCGCCTCACCTCACCACTTAGAGCCTCTTGAACCCAGGCTGCCCCCAGGGCACCAGTGCAGGATGGGAGTGGGGAGCACTGGGAGAGATGCAGTCGCTCCACATCTCAGCTGGCCCTTGGTTGTCAGTTGTGCTATTTTAGCCTTTCCATTAGGTGTGGTACCCCAAGTGGATTCCATCTGTTTTCCTTACAATCACTGTTGAACATCTTTTCAGGTTTTTGGCTGCCATCATGTATCTTCTTTGGTAAAGTGTCATTTTAAATCTTTTGCCCATTTTTTAATAGGGTGATTTGTTTCTTATCATTGAGTTTTTAGAATTCTTTATATACTCTGAATACAAGACCTTTGTCTGATTTGTGTTTTGCAAATATTTTTCTCTGTGTTGTGGCTTATCTTTTCATTTGCTTAAGTGTCTTTCAAAGGGCAGAAATTTTCAATTTTGATGAAGTCTAATTTAATTTTTCTTTTGTGGATCATGCCTTTGACATCATATCTAAAAATGCTGCCTATCCCAAGGTCATAAAAATTTTTCTCCTGTGTTTTCATTCTTCTTTGAAAAGACTTTCTTTTTTAGAGTATATGTTTTCTTCTAGAAGTTTTATAATTTAAGGTTTTATAGTTAGTTCTATGACCATTTTTAGCTAATTTTTATATAAAGTAGGACGTGTAGTGTAAGGTTCATATTTTTTTTGCATGTGGATGTTCAGTTGTTCCAGCACCATTTGTTGAAGACTATCATTTCTCCACTGAACTGCCTTTGTCAAATATCTGTTGACCATATAAGTGTGGGACTATTTCTCGACTCTGTTCTCTTCCACTGATGAATGTGTCTATTCTTTTGCTAATACCACACTCTTTTGATTACTGTGACTGTATAGTAAGTTTTAAATCAGGTACCATGAATCCTCCAACTCTATTCTTTTTAAAAACTATTCTTTTTGGCTATTCTAATTCCTCTGCCTTTCCACAGAAATTTTAGAATCAGCTTGTCAACGTCTAGAAAAAAGTCTGCTGGAATTTTGGTTGGGACTGCTTTGAATCTACAGACAATCTGGGAAGAATTAACCTTGCAACGATATTGAGTCTTCTGATCCATGAACATGGTATATCTCGCCTTTATTTACGCCTTTGATTTCTTTTATCAGTGTTTTATGTTTTGTAGCATACAGATGACGCACATTTTATAAGATTTATACCTAAGTATTTCATGTTTTTTGGTGCTAGAGTAAGTGATACTTTTCTTAAAATTTTCAATTTCCAGCTGTTTACAGATAATATATATAAATACAATAGATTTTACTGAACAGGGAAGCTGACTTGTGACCCACCGTCAGTCTCACCTGGGTCCAGGCACATGAACTTGCAGCATTCCTTGGGGTCTTTGCGGTACTGCTGGCAGCCCTGGGGCCGTTCGCAAAGGGCAGCCACACACATCTCAGGCTCCCCTCCATGGCAGGTGCAGCTCAGGCATGGATCATCCCCTTTAGGAGTGAAGTAGAACCCTTCATCTACCACGTTATCCTTGATGTCAACACACGTCTGACCTGCAATAGGCACATACATATGCGTTACCAGTGGAAGCCCTGACTCTCCCCACCTGGGCCTAGGACAGGAGTTGGTAAGATTGTGCCTGAGAGCCCTCCCAGTAGTGGAATGCTGTGCATTTGCCCCACGGCCACAGGTAGCAGCTGTCCAAGAGAGGTCACTACAACATACTGTTAGGAAAAAGCACACCTGGCTAGGGCAAACCTAGCCATGAGCCCAGATTGCTAGGACACAGGAAAGTGCCCGATTCCAGTGGAAAGTCCTTGGGAAAGTGTTTGCTTTGAAGTTGCCTAAGCAGTTTACTTATGAGAGTCCCTCAATTTTAAGATGCAGCTGCCATGCATCTTAACCATTTTAAAATCAGAATGTGTCTTGAATGAGGCTCTCAAGAAGCTGCTGGTTCCTGGGAAGACGATCCACTGGACCTCAGACACTCACCATAACCTCTGCGCAGAGCTGACCTGGGACTAGAGGAAGAGGAGTGACCATGGCCAGAGACAGGAGGGAGCTGAAAACTCAAAGTCTTAAGCTGGTAGTCAGACATGACAGATGCTGGGGGGAAGGGATGAGGTATGAGGCAGGGGCAGGTCTTCAAAGGGATACAGGCTCAGTGAAAGGCAAATGGGCATGAGAAGCAAGTTTTTTCCAGTCTCTAAATGCAATAGGGATGTCTTCTGAACAGAAGTTCCATAGCCACGGGTCTGTGTGTCACTTAAATCTGGAGTCAAATCTATGTAACTCATGTGGTCAGGAACTTGCAGGGCACGAAACTCACATAAAATTATTCTTTGCTAGAATGGAGAGAAGAAAGAATGAAGAAAAATTAGTACAGCCCTCAGAGAAATGCAGGGCACCATTAAGGGCACCAACATACACGAAATGTGAGCACCAAAAGGAGGAGAGAGAAAGAAAGGAGCAGAAAAAAATATCTGAAGAAATAATGGCTGAAAACTTCCCAAATTCACTGAAAAACAAAGACCTACACATCTAGGAAGCTCAATAAACTCGAAGTAGGATAAACTCAAAGGGACCCACAAACAGACACATCAGAGTAAAAACACTGAAAGTGAAAGTCAAAGACAAAGTGAAAACCTTAAAAATAGCAAGAAAAAATGACACTACTTATAAAGGAAGCCCAGTAAGACTAACAGCTGACTTCTCAGCAGAAATAACAGAGGCCAGAAGGCAGTGGGATAACATATTCAAAGTGCTCAAAAAAACCCCTCATCAACCAAGAATCCTACATCCAGCAAAATCACCTTTCAAAAAATGAGAGCAAATAAAGACTTTCCCAGATAAACAAAAACGGAGAGAATTTGTTGCTTTCAGACTTGCCTTACAAGGAATACCAAAAGAAATTCTTAAGGTTAAAATCAACTGACTCACCGATAGTAATTTGAATCCATACGCATACACAAAAAGCACCATGAAAGGTAATTATTGTAAAAGTATAAACATGTATTTTTTTCTCCTTTAGTCTCTTAACTGATTTAAAAAGCAATCGTATAAAGTAATATGTAAATAATGTTAACGTTGGGCCTCTGGATATACCATGTGTGTGACATGTTTCCCACTAACAGCATGAAGGAGGTTATGTGGAGCACAGCTCTATTGGGTTAAGGAAACAACTGCAGACAGTAAAGGGATAATTACAACAATATATCACTGAGTTTGTAACACTAAGAGATCTAATGTGTCATGATTTGGATACGACATGCTGTACACGGAATAGACAGTGGTAGTGGTTGCACATATCCATGAATATACTAAAACCACTGAATTGTAAGGTATGTAAATTATATCTCAATAAAGCTATTAAAAAAGAGATAATGGCAGAGATTTTCCTATAATTGATCCAACACATAAATCCTCAGGTGCCCTAAAAGGACAAATAAAAATAAATCAATAGCTAGACAGTGTGATGAACAAAGTGTTATGAACAAAGGAAACTCTCAAAAGCAAAAGAGAGATGAAGACTGCCTACTGTTCTGTGTTCTTTTAGGTGATGGTCAGTCAGGCGTGGCCACAAGATGCAGCACAGGAGAGGCTCAGGAAAACCATTTCTTTCATTCACAGAGACAGTCCCCACACGCCGAAGGAGGCACACGGGAAGAGCACCGAGGGAGAGGCTCAACCAAGCGGGCGGGGAGCTGAGAGGATGCGAGGACCCGCAACAAGCGCCCTTACTAGGGGTTGGGGGAGGACACAAGCAAAGGCATAAGGGGATTTCACAGGAGCGTTGGAAGGTCACTAGGTCACAGTCAGGAGAGGGAAGGAGGGGGAACTTCTGGCAGAGGCCAACATTATCACACTGGTGCACCTGGCTACCTGGGCGGAGCTCAGGGCCTGTTCATGGGATGTCAAGGCAACAGGAAGATATGAAGTTTAAAATTTATAATACACAACAAACCTAGGAAGGGCATATGACAGTTCAGAGCAAGGAATGAGCGGAAGCAATAAAATAACATCTTCAAAACCTTGAGAAAAAGTAACTGTCAACAGACAAATCTATACCCAGCTATACTAACATTCAGGATTGGAGGCAAAATACAGACATTTCATACAGAGACTAGTAGAGTGAGGCCCTAACACAACCTCATCTCAAAGAGCTCCTGAAGAAAGTATCTGAGGAAGGAAAAATCAAACCCAGGAGGAAGAAGTGGGACGTAAGAAGAAACTGAAAAACATGCGGGGAAATCTAAACAACTGCTGCCTTCCCCAAAGAGCGCTCACTTGAGAAGCATGAGAACAACGTAAAACTAAAACAAAGCACAACAGGGGCACGCACACAGGTCAGACGCTGGGAACTGCTGGAGCTGTCCTCGTATTATTCAGAAGGAAGTTAGAGACACTATCTTGAGATTTTTTTTTTTAAAAATCAATAACATCCTGGGGCTGGCCCCGTGGCCGAGTGGTTAAGTTCGTGCGCTCCGCTGCAGGCGGCCCAGTGTTTCGTCAGTTCGAATCCTGGGCGCGGACATGGCACTGCTCATCAAACCACACTGAGGCAGCATCCCACATGCCACAACTAGAAGGACCCACAACGAAGAATATGCAACTATGTACCTGGGGGCTTTGGGGAGAAAAAGGAAAAAAAAAAAAAAAATCAATACCATCCTTTAAAAATGTAAGAGTAACCACTAAAAGGATAGCTATATATAATATAATTTTTGAACCAGTATAGGAAAAAAAGAGACTAGAAGTCAGAAAGAGAGATAAAAGAAGTAAACAAAATCCTGGGTAAATAGCACGAAATAAGACACTAAAAAATTCAAAGATTTAATGAAAAGAGGGCAAAAAGACATCGAAAGGAAGCTAGCAAAGAAATATTATGTAATAATAATAAAAAGCTACTATCCATTGAGAACTTTCTAAATGCCGAGTACTGTGCTTTGCACTGCACATGTATCAGCTAATTTCATCCAACACCACAGTGAAGTGTCTGCTCTATCACCCCCCGCCCCTTATGTGGAACCTGAGGGACAGAGCTTAAGAAACTTGCTCAAGGCCAAGCTTGGACTCACACTTTGGCTGTCTGGCTAAGTCTGTTCTGCTAACACCATTCTATAGCTAGTGCTAGAAAAGAAGTAGACTTTAAGTAAACAAACAAAAACTACTATGGATAAAAAAGATCATTACATAATGATGAAAAGGTTAAATTCACCAGGAAGATGTAACAATTAAAAAGTCTATGTCGAAGGGGGCAGAGCAAAATGGCGGGTTGAGCTGACCCGGGATTCTCTCCCCTCCAAAATACAGCAAAAGATTGGAAGAACTGAATTTCAGAGAATAAACATAATGCCAGCTCGTTAGAGACCTACAATACCAAGAAGGCGGAGATCATACACCTTGCTTACACCCTCGGAGGCGCCAGAACGGTAGGAGAGAACATCGCTCCCTCCCCTAGAGTCTGCGATCGCTGCAGCGCAGGTGGGGAAGGAGCGGGGGAGGGGCCGCACGACCAGGGGATCATCCAGGACTCCTGCCGCTGATTCAGTGGAGACCCGCTGACGGGGCGAAAGCTTCCGTACGCGGGGACCCTATGAATGAAGGGCCTTGGGAGACCAGAGAACAGAACTGATCTGAACCCAGACCGGTGCGTGTCAGTAACAGCCGCCCACCCCCCCAAAGCCAGTGGGCGCAGCCCTCTTGCCCCAAGGCAGAGAGCTCATAACACGCCGCTCTCGACCCCCAATCTAGTGGCGACAGGCTGTAACTGCACCTGAATTCTACCACCATGAGAAAAAACCGCTCCTCTACCATCCAGCAATTTATAAAAGCCCCAGACCAGAAGGAAAACAATAACAACACAGAATTAAGTCCTGAGGACTTGGAAGTAGGTAAACTAAGTGATAATGAGTTCAGAGCAGCTATAATCAAAAACTCAATGAGGTAGAGAGAAAGAGAAACAAGCCGAGTTCTGGAGTTACTTCACAAAAGAGATTGAAATCATAAAGAAGAATCAAATAGAATTACTTGAGATGAAAAACACAATGGACCAGATAAAACAGAATATGGATTCACTGAATGCCCGTGTAGACAACACAGAGGAGCAAATTACCATAATCGAAGATAGGCTGAATGGCACCAGACAGAGGAAGAAAGAGAACTAAGAATTAAAAAAAATGAGGAAAATCTCCGAGAGATAATGGATTCAATGAGGAGTAAGAACATAAGGATCATAGGAATTCCCAAGAACATGGAAAAGGAAAATGGAGCAGAAAGTGTGCATAATGAAATTATTGAAGAGAACTACCCAAATCTAGGGATTGACAGAGAAATGTGTGTAGAGGAGGGTTTTAGATCTCCTAGATTTGTCAATGTAAAAAGAGCTACCCCAAGGCACATGGTAGTAAAGTTGGCAAAAAGGGAAGATAAGGAAAGAATACTCAGGGAAGTAAGAAAAAAAAAAAGAGAATAACCTATAAAGGAGCCCCTATCAGACTGTCAGCGGATTTCTCTACAGAAACCCTACAAGCTAGGAGAGAATGGAGTGACA